GGCTCAGAGGGAATTCTTTAAAGAAAGAAGAGACCAAAAGTGTTGATCTCTCTTTTCACAGATGGGCAGGTTGGTCTCAGCTCCAAACCCTAAGGGCAAGGAGGAGGATGGATCTTCTTTAAACCATGAGTTTTTTCTGAGAAGAGCATTTAAACTGTCAAGTCCCATGGAATATTTCCATTGTAATAAGGAGTGTGGAGAGAACAATGAAAAGAAATCTAGCCAAAACCGGTTTGGCTCAGTGGGTAGAGCGTCGGCCTGCGGACTGAAGGGTCCCAGGTTCGATTCCGGTCAAGGGCATGTATCTTGGTTGCGGGCACATTCCCAGTAGAGGATGTGCAGGAGGCAGCTGATCGATGTTTCTCTCTCATCGATGTTTCTGACTCTATCTCTCTCCCTTCCTCTCTGTAAAAAATCAATAAAATATATTTAAAAAAAAAGAAATCTAGTGGTAGTCCAAAAAGTATCTCATCTTATCACAAACAATAGTCTCATTCCCCCAAAATGCCATTTTCCCAAGGAAGAATTTGGCAGTTGCTTCAGCATGACAGTGCAGGGTTGATGACTGGAGCCTAGAACCCAATAGCAGAGGGAATCCAGAGTCAGGGGCATAGAGTTGAGAAGGCAGCAAGACTACGGGGTGGATGGAGGCTGCACACAAACTCCTGGGGACGTTTTACCTGAAGACCCTCCTAGGCATCTTAAAGTTATTTAAAAAATATCTGGAGGCTCACCTAGAATGAGGTATGGTTTATTTTACAAAGTGCCATTTTAAGAGTCTGACATTTTTTTTTTCTTGGTAGAGTCTAAAAGTAAAAACACCAAAATTCAAATGCCTACTCTAGTTCAAGAATTTTATGTTTCTGTGTATGCCCAGACAAAGATGACCTTCTTTGTCCCGTATTTTTTCAATATTATTAAAAAACAAAATGTACTCATTATGTTGTTTACTATTTACTGCTGGTCAAACTGTTCTTCCTTGAAATTCATGGAAAACTCTGGTCAACACAGTTCCTAAACAAAAGGTCAAATAGCTATCAGAATAGTTTCATGCCTCTTACTGAGAACTGTTGTACGCTGGGTTTCTGCAAGCCTACTCTCAACAAATCATCTATTAATTTTAGCTTTCTAGTACTAGCATTTCAGAGAGCCCAATTGTGAGACAGAGGTACTCACTTCTCTACTCTCCACAGCCTCAGAATTCCCATGTTGTGACCAATTTGGGGTCTTTTCTAATTAATGGTGTATGGAAGCCGACAGCTCTATTGGCTCCATCTGCCCTACCTGTTTATTTTAGCTGTAGGGTCAAGGGCAAAATCCCCAAAACTTTGGGCTTAGATAGAACTCAGATGACGAGGGAGCCAAAAGGTGGAGTCCTTGTCCTCAAACACTCCTCTGCCCATTAGTAGATTTAGATGGAATAAAGTAAAGACCAGATCGGGTAGTTTCCTCTTTATATCATTCAGGGGTTTCCCTTCCAATCCTTAACCTTGTCTCTTTAAATACAAAGGTGGAAGAGACCCACGATGCTTACAGAATAGCACAGCTTACTGACCTCATTCTCTGAAACCAAAAAAAAGCTTGGTTTTAAATGGTCGGCTGACTATATACTAAACAAGTGACCCTCAGAAACAATATTACTACCCAACTCATTGGGTTATGAAGATTAAATAAAATCATGCTTTTAAACTACTCAATATAGTACGCAGACACTTGATTAACTAGAATTAACGATGTAGTATATTACTATAATTCATGTCATAAAATCAAGAAAAACATTTAAGCAATTCATATTCATAAAAAGAAAAACTTGCCTATTATAAAGAGGATTCACCTTAAGTTCAGGTTTAAAAATATTTCTTCATAGATGTGATAGAGAGTAAACTGGAATTGTTCAGATTAAATTTTTATTAAAGTACTAATATGCTGGAGAACATTGATATCCTGTTCATGTAGTTTGACAATATAACCTTTGTTGAAAAGATGAGGATTATGTGGAAGACAAAATGTTGTCGAAGTGAGCTGTTACTGCCATTCTAGGTGCCCAGGTAGGTAGGAATAGAACTCTTTCACCAGTGACTTAAATTAGATGGAAGTTTGTTTTTATCTCACTTAGGAGAAGTGTGGGGACAGCTTGTCCAATGTTGGTATGGACACCCCAGAGTTATCATGGGCCCATTGTCCTTCCAGCTCTCTGGTCCACCATCCCCATGGTGCAAGCCTTGTATCCTTTGTCCAGAATGGCTGCATTCTAAACAATAGGATTGTAAAAGGAAAAGAGAAAGGCACTTCCCTCCTTTTTAGGGAAGTTTCATATTTTCGTAAGCTTCCTCCTAGGTTTTGTTGGCATGGTCCTCTTAGCTGCAAGGGAGCCTGTGAAATATAGTTTTTACTCTGAGCTAATAATTTGGTTCTCCTACTAAGAAAAAAGAGGGTACTGGAGAGAGGAAGGAAGCTAAGTTTCCTAGCTATACTACATTCATTCTTCTTCTCTAAAATATTCTTTAATCTCTTTTCCTTCCTGGTTCCTCTTTCTCTTGTTTCTCAATGGCCATTCTACTTTTTTCTATAGAGTCTGTCCTTCCAATTTTTCACCCACTCCAAAGACTTCAATTGCTGAGTTTATGTGAGGAGAAGAAGGCAGGTGGCCCAATCTAATCCCCTTGTAAACCTGTTGATCACTGATCTGGAATAGACTAATGAAATTATATGAGGAGTTCTTATTGGTGAAATCCTCTTAGCAGAATATCCCTCTTTCAGGATTACTGATGTTAAATAAAACTAGAATCTGTGGATTTATAACTTATGACCTCTAAAAAATGTCACAAAATCTCTGTGATGATCAGTGTAAAAAAACACAAGTGGCTAAGGAACTTATATGCATACTAGAGGCCCAATGCACGTAATTCGTACAAGAGTAGGCCTTCCATCCCCCAGCTGCTGGCACCCAGGACCAGGGCTTCCTCCCTCCAACTGCCGGCAGGCACCTGGGACCTGGGATGGCTTCCCTCTGGCCCTGGCTTTGTCCAGAAGGATGTCCAGAATGATTTCCAGAAGGACGTCTGGTCTAATTAGCATATTACCCTTTTATTATTATAGGTATGCATAGCCCATGGCAGGGCAAGTGAGGGGTAGAGGAGATCAATGGGGGGGAAAAAGGGTGACATCTGTAATACTTTCAACAATTAAGATAAATTTATAAAGAAAACACAGCCTTGGCTGGTTTGGCTCCGTGGATGGAGCACCGGTCTGCAGACTAAAAGCTCCCAGGTTCAATTCCCTGCAGGGAACATGCCCAGCTTGTGAGCTCGATCCCCAGTAGGGGGCATGCAGGAGGCAGCCAATTGATGTTTCCATCTCATATCAATGTTTCTCTCCCTCTCACTTTCTGTCTAAAAAATCAATTTAAAATCTTTAAAAAGAATGTTTCTCTTCCCATGTGGAGTATTTGCCCTCTTACTTTTCTACACCCCACTTGTCCAGTTCAAGTCTCATCTCATCCAAAAGCCTCCTCAACCTTTCATGTCTTCACTGACAACAGCAGGAGGTAGCCTTCTGATGCCTCTAAACTCTGAACACAGAAGCCTGTCATCCATTCTGGACATTCAGCCAAAAATGGCTTCTTTCTCTCTCTCTTCTGCTTTCCTAGGGCAGGGCAAGTGTTCTCATGAACAAGGTGTGGTATCTTCCTTTTATAGTCATAAAGACCCCCAACTAGGCAAGGTAAAGAGCAGTGACAAACTTTTTTATTTCTTCCCTGAAACTTCCTGGTCTCTAAGTCTGTGCTGTGAGTTCCCAGGAGTAAGATGAGCTAAACTTGGCTTGCAAAGGAACCTGGAATGTTTCTGCTAAACTCCTTAAGGGTCTCAAGAGAGGGCTAGACTGCAGTTGAATAGTCATCTCAAGGATTCTTGGAACGGATCCTTCCTTTCCCAAGATCAATACTCTTTGCACCCACAAATGCTGTGGTAGAAGAACCCTGGATTGAGCTTTGACAGACTGTAGGGGGTGAGGGGGGGTGTCTTAATCCTGGCTCATACAGTGACCACATATATGACCCTAAACATCTCTTTCCCATTCTGGGCTTCAGTTTCATCAACCATAAAATGAATAACTTAAATTTTATATTCTCACTTACACTTGAGGAAAGAGAGTTGGATCATTCTTTGTGGATACATTCCAAAATGTATTATAGTTTTCAAGGAACAGAGCTCATATTTGTAATTTCCTGGCCATTTCACAAGGTTTTTAGTATTCTTTTCCAAAATGAGCATGGAACTTGTTTCATGTTGAGGGCTTGCTGTGGGGACCATCACATTGCCATGGTTTAGTGCCTCGGCTTAAGAAATTATTTTTAACTGTGTACTCATTAAGCAAAATTTCTAAAAGCTTTGTTGTAAATCTGCCTTTCTCTTTTACTTTAGTTAAGGAAATGGTTTGACTTCACAAAATCACATCTTTATCCTTCTACATATGGCAATGTGCATATCTCTCTGCAAAATGAAGGTATGTAGGGAACAGAAAAGAAACACAAAAGCAAAAATGTCAACTTGTTGGGCTTGCCACCAGTTTTTGGAGAAGCCACCATCTGGGCAGGCTACTAGTGAATCAACCACTAACCTGACCAAGGCTTGATGTTGTAGGTTCATCTCCTGGTTCACTTTGCAAACCTTAAGCTTGTTCAAAGGTTTAACCTTAGCTTATATAACAGGCATAAACAGGTCCTCAGATTTCCAGTCCTGGCACTCAGATGCTAAAAAGTGTTAATGGTTTTACCAACTGAAGACTTCTAGGAAGACATATAAATCAATTAAATTTCTTTAGGATGAAGAGAAGTTCGTAGGCAATATGAACATGAGTTAACACTGTTGTCACAATTCATCTGATCATGGAATCAGCATTTATTTGGTGTTCGCTCAAAGAACCGTCACACCATCACTAGGAAAAGCATGGGGGGTGGAAATTACAGACACACTATGTTGAATGATTATATACTTGGGATTTTTTATTTACTTGATAACTACACAACAATTTCATTCACTGTAAAATCACAATCAGATACAATATCTAGAAATATTACAGGTAAATGAGTGTTTTTTTTAAACGTACATTTTAGGCTGAAAAGCCAAAAGAGGTTTGGTTGTCACATCTAAAAAGTTCCTATTTAATACAGATAACTGCTGTTTAGCATTCTTAATGGAAAGGTGAACATACTGACAACAAATGATATAATTTTATTACTTTTAGTGTAAAAACTAACTTTCCTGATTTAATAATGCAATATGTGATTTCATAAAAAGTAAGGATTGCCTTCCAAGGCATATTGGATTTAGGCTGGCATTTTAATTAGTTTCTTTTTTCTCCGAGAGTATTCTGATTAAACAGTAGGATAAATATGCTGGATGATGAATGGAAAAATAATAGCTTTTTAGAATGTATCTTCCAGAGAAATAACATGACTATAAATAATAAACTTTGCTACGAAAAATTAAGAGTTGACTATTTTGGAGGGGGAGATGCACAACACAGGTTTCACTTAAATAGCATTATAAATGTGTTGCTCTAGAATTATTGAAGAAGAAAAGGACAAGTCCATTCTATAGCTATACAGCCTCATGAAAATAAAAAATAGACTGAGAAACAAATACCACATTGCCCAGATTCATGCTGGCTGGGGAACAGGCATAGGAAGATGGTCAGCACTTCCATGATCACAAAGATGCTTTTATTCTAAAACCCTGAGCTTGTCTTCTGACTGGAAACCGATCTACCATGTCCTTTTATACTTCCGCCACCAGCTTTCACTGCCTTCTTGTACCAACTTATTAAGAACATGATGCATACAGCACTGCTGAGAGGTGTGAGGGAACAATTTATACAAAGGATAGCGAAAGGGGAAGGTGGTGAGGTTTCTAGATACATAAGTCGAGCTTACAAGTTTTCCCATGTCCAGGCACATTACACACAGTTATTAGCCTCGCTTTTAATTAGTTGTGTGGTTGAAGAGTTTTTCCACCTATTATCTCATTGGCTATTCACAACCACCTCCTCAGTAGCTACCTTCATCCCCTGCAAGAGGCTTTACCCAGGGTCACAGAGGTGACAGAGCCAAGGCTGGATCAGATCTTTTGGTTCAAAAACTCCACATTCCAATATTCAAAACACCGAACTAAGGAGGTGATTGGAAAGTGGGACAAGCGCTCAGGGAGCCCGTAGACTCACTGAAGCTCATTGTCAGCTGACCCTCCCCCTCGCCACCATTTGTATGTCCCTTTCTTTCCTAGGTACCCGGGGCCCTACCACTGAGCTTCATCACCTGCCACTGGATTGCATGACTTCATGTGCACTGAGGAATGGAAATGGGATGGGTTACGCCTCCAGAAAGTACCTCCATTTTAAAAAGAGCATCAAGTTTTAATCCATAATGCCTGTGATGGGATTCAGGCACCAGGGACAAAGACATCTTGCCCTTAAATCGTGCCAGTAAGGGTGAAAGCTGGTGTGAATGAAAAAAAATGGCAGACAGCCATATTCATGAGGTGTGTGTCTCCTTTCAAACAGTCTATGCGTCACAAGCATGGAGACATGAGAAGGACATAAGGAGAAGTCTAACTGGTCCAAATCAGAATAACTGAGAGGTGGAAGCAATATCACCCTAAGACCAAGAGACCCTGGACCCCTTCCCTGAGCCCCCCACACTTTCAGGGGTCCTCTGCCTGGACCCCTCCCATTGAGGGAGAGAAGGCCATGGATCCAAGGGGACATACCCATCCTGAGCCTTGCTGTACCCCTCTTGCTCCAGGTACCCAGGCCTCATAATTCCCTGTCCCCATAGTCTCCAGGGTCTCTGCGGCCTCTTCCCAGGATCCATCCTTATAATCATGAGCTTCACTACATATGGGCCTTGAGCCTGAGACACCGCCATAAGGCAACATGGGGCAAGAGGGTCTGGATAGAACTTGCCATGTATACTATGGTGTCCATAAGCATGCGTGTAAGGCTCCTCACAGTGAGCGTGGGGACCAGGAGTGAGAAGAGAAGGGCTGAGGAAAGAACTGGGAGGCTGTCTGTATTCTTACTCCAACCGCGCAAACGTCAGGAGTGAAGTCCAGCCTAAAGATAGCTGTAGAAATGGGTTACATCAGTGTCTGATGAGTCGCCGAGATTGTCCAGAGAGACCCTCACCCCCAAAAACGCATGTACCACAGTCCAGATGCCTACTCAGGTCCCCTCTGCAGCCGCCTTACTCCAGGCTGTCCATGCTCAGATTTTTTTCTTGGTTTAACCCCTACTTCTTTGGGGCCATTCAGTGTCATCAACATCTACGGCTTTTACCAGTGCCTCCTCTTTGCACAGAGGAGACGTTCAGTGAACGTCAGCCACTGGTGATGGTGTCTAATCACACGAGTGTTAGAAAATCTGCGCCCCTGGGACACCATGCTCACATAGTCGTCCAGGTACTCGGCCCTCGGCGGCAAACCAAGAGTTCTTGGGGTTGACGGTGTGCATCCAAGTACACGGGTCAGTGTCCCAAAGGCCCGTTCACACGTTTAAAGGCCCCTCGGGTTACTTCAGCCTGATGCAGTCCACCTCTTCGGTGGCAGGCACCCCCGCGGTTTTGAGATCGAGGTCCGCGCTGGACTTGCTGCCGTTGGAGGATGACTTCCAATGGAGCTGCACGATCCTCTTGAGGTACTTGATGGTGTTGTTCTTGACCGTCACGAAGCACAGGGTGTTGATCATGCTGTTGCTCATGGCGATGCACTCGACGATGTAGAAGGCCGTGAGGTAGTGCTTCTCCTTCACGAACACGGCGGGGAAGAAGTCGCGCACCACGGTGAAGCCGTAGAAGGGGGCCCAGCACAGCACGTAGGCGGTGAGGATGCCCATGAGCACCAGCACCGTCTTCCGGCGGCAGCGCAGCCGCTTCCGGATCTGCTCCGTCTGGAAACCGGGGACGGCCTTGAACCAGAGTTCCCGCGAGATGCGGGCGTAGCACAGCGTCATGACGGCCACGGGGCCCACGAACTCCAGGCCGAGGATGAAGAGGAAGTAGGACTTGTAGTAGAGCTGCTGGTCCACCGGCCAGATCTGGCCGCAGAAGATCTTCCTCTGGTTCCTGACGATGATGAGAACCGTTTCCGTTGTGAAGTAGGCGGAGGGGATGGCGATGAGGACGGACACCGCCCACACCAGGGCGATCCAGCCCGTGGCTGTCTGATACTTCATCCGGGGCCGCAGCGGGTGGACGATGACCAGGTATCTAGGACAAGAACGCAAACGGGTCAGTCTCTGTGCCAAGAAAGTGCCCGATGAGGAGATTTTTGCCACCGAATGGGGTGTGTGGAGGGAAAACGCAATGGTATAGGGGCTTTCCAGAAAGGCAGGCTTGAATTCGGACCCCAGTTCCACCCCTTACCAGCTGTTGGAACCGCAAGCAAGTTTTGTTTCATCTCTGAATCGCAGTTTCCTTATCTGCAAATGTTTTTGTTTTTAAGGATGAAATATGCTAATGTATACACAATTCCTGGCATATACTCAATAAATGGTAACTATTACTATTAAATGTAGTGATAACGCCTCCCATCCGTTTCTAGCCTGGCATGATTCCCAGGTCCTTCCTGTCTTCAGGATCATTCATTCTAATTAACCCAGAGTTTAGAGCTAAAAGGCCCTGATAGCTCCAAAGACTTATTGGGAGAACTTGCTCCTTCCAGTGGGAGCAGTGGGCAAGTGTTGTCTTCATTCCACATTTTTTAAAACATTGGCTCTTCATGCAAAGGGGGAGGAATACATGTGATCATTTATTTTACTTTCCAGGTGGAAAAATAGAGGCCAGAGAGAGATGAGTGGCTTTCTCAAAGTCATATACCATAGGACCCTTGGTAGAAAACATTTAACCTTATGGATGAGAAAATCAATTGAGAATATACATGAATGTATCTTTTTTAACCACAAAGCACCAGATAGAAAAAGATATTGCTTTTGTTCTCTCCCCCCCGTACACCCCCCCCGCAAAAAAAAAAAAAAAAAAAAAAACAACCACACTGCTGTTACCACAGAGGTCCAGGAGCAAAGACAGAGCACTTTCTAGGGGTTGTGAGTCATTTGTGCTGCATGAAAGCCTCCTTCCCAGGGTGAGTGTACATACTTATGCAGGAGCTTTGATTTCCTGGAAGGCTTTCTGATTTCACATGGGATGGAGATTGGAGGAGAAGAAAGATAGGAAGTGAAGTGGGAGGGAATGACTAATCAACATTGGAAATAAACACATCCTCACTTGCCTACAGCTTATTCCAGGTAGAGCCAAGAACAAATGTGACAGGGGTAGGAAAGAAAGCCAAACCAATTCTGTTTTTTGAAACCAATCTTTTTGAGTTCATCTTTCTTGGAAATTTGAATTGGGAAATTTGAGGGGAGGAGGAGGTTCATTCTTATTTTTTTCTTCTGATTATAATACTGCTGTTTCTGTCCTACGCCCCCCCAACCCAAGTAGCCAGCTCCGTGGAGTGTGTCATTTGAAGAGTTAACTGAAGTGAGACTCCTGCTGTCTTATGGCTTCCAGATATTAGATCAAGTTGGAAAGGTTGAGTCCACCCTCTGAACACCCAGCTGTCTGCTTGACATGCTCCACCACCAGCAACAATCCTTGGCTCTCTCACCAACCTCCTAGTGCTGAGGGTGAAATGCAGTGTCTGTAGGGTGCTGGCAGTGCTTTTCTCAGTGAACATGTATGGGTCCTTCACAGAAGCCATGGCGCTCCTACAATGAGTGAACCGAACTTGCTCTGACTCATAGCAAAAACTAGGAACTTAGTGTTTTTGCTCTCACTAGCTCTCTCCCTCTCTGTCTACACCACCATGTTTCATTGATTACTTTGTCAAAGAGTATTTCTATATTCATACATGTGTAGTATATGAATTCTCACTATATAATTCTATTCTTTCTTTTCCCAATAGTAACTTCCTACATCTTTATAATGTTTCAAAGCCAAAGTGTTTTTTCAGTAAGTAGGAGAGAATGCTGACCTAGGAGTCAGAAGACCGAGAATCTAGTCCCAGCTTTGCCACAAACTTGTTATGTGAATTTGAGCCATTTTTCTTAGCCCTGTGGGCTCAATTTCCTCATCTGTAGCATAGGGATATTACCTGCCTCAACAACCTAACAGAGATACTGTAAGATCCAAACAAACACTGCATATAAACAACAATAAGCTATTAATACACAAGAAACTATTAGCGTCCTAGAATGTATTTTTTCAGAGCTATTCTGTATACATAGCAATTTTCTTTCACCTGTTTTTACCAAATACTGCATTTGAAAGTTCTCTACTACTTTCTATTTTATTGGATACTAGAGGCCCAGTGCACAAAAATTTGTTCACTCGAGGGGGAGGGAGGGTCCCTCAGCCTGGCCTGTGCCCTCTTGCAGTCTGGGACCCCTCGGGGGATGACCACCTGCTGTCTTAGGGCTGCTCCCCGGGGGATTGGGCCTAAGATGGCAATCAGACATCACTCTGGAAGCCCGGGAGCCCTCGGGGGATGTCCACTTGCCAGCGGGGAGCAGGCCTAAGCTGCAGTCAGACATCCTTAGTGCT